CAATTTTGCCAAAGGTATTCTTCTTGGTCTTTGTTTTATTGGTCTGTAGTCTCCGGTGTTGATTTCATGTTTTACCAAAGTTGTGTGGCCCAAATCTGAAGAGTTCTTTGAAAATAGTTGTTGGTATGAGCAAAGGAGGTCTTTAAGTTTGTGTTGTTCTTCTGGAGCTAAATGAATGCTTGATCTTTCAATCAGGTCTTTAAGGTGCTCAGGAACTTGCTGGGATTTTGTTTCCAAGGGATTTGTCTCCTTCTTTGAAATACTTTGAACTTTGTTAAAAGTGAAGATATCATCAGTTTCTACATTCTCACATGTAGCAGCAATGGTGCCTTTATAAAGCTTACAGGGTTGATCGAATAAGTTTATAACTCGTAATGGTACTATATCTTTGCTGGCATTTATAAGTGACTTGGCTACTAGAAGTCCTTTTCGTTCAATAAATTTTTGTGTGCCCTCAATGAAAGCGGAGTGTCCTGGTAGATAACCATCTGCTGTGGTGCCAGGTACAATCATTTCACTTCTAGGGGAAATTTCAATATCTTCTGAAATTGCAACTTTACAACAAGTTGACAAAGCATTGTTTGCAAATCTATGGCAGGGTACTTCTTCACCCTCCAATCCTATGTTCAAAATTTCTTTGGCTAAGTTGACATTACAATTGTGCTTGACCAGGAAATCTAATCCCAAAATTCCATCATTGTCGATGTTTGCAATCAGTACATTGTGATCATAGCACGTAGAACCAATCGACAGAGTAACTTTGCACTGTCCATGAAATGGCGTACTTTCTCCTGTTGCTGTTACTAGACTGGTGTTGGCTGGTCTAATATCTGGTTTCAAAGAATTATCTAATCTGTTGATAAATTTTTCACTCAACAAGGTGACATTTGCACCTGTGTCAACAAGCATGGCGATATCTTCATTTTGCACCCTCACTTTAACAAATAATCCCTCATTCTTTGACCAAGATTCATTAATGATGATGGTGTTGGGCCAGTTTACATCTGGGGTCGACCTCTGGCCCTTGAGTCCGACGCTTTTCCGTTTCCCTGATAACTGCTGTTCTGTGCTGAAGTTCCATTCTGATTGCTGTTTCTTGGGGGTGTTCGATTTGCATTGTTTTGTTGTCTCTGGTAGTTTTCTGGCTCTCTTCTATGTTGGTTCATGGGTTGATAAGATTGATTGTTGTAATATCCTCCCCCAACCCTATTTTGAAAATTAGAATCTCTTGTTCTGTTTTGTTGATAGTATCTGTGTGGGGGAGTTGGCCTCAAACTGTTAACAACCTGTTTAAGATCTTGACATACTGATTTCAGTTCACTCCTCACACTGGAGAATTCATCCTTTATTGTTTTGCATATATCATCTGGTGACTGTTTTGTAATTGTGTAGGAATCGGTACTTCTAGGAAAATCCGTTTCTCTCTGTAGGGTTCTGACGAGGCGCCCTCTCTGTTTGTCTGCTAATCTAAAAGTTTCCAAGCGGATTGCTTGTGACTCTGCTTCACCGATGTTTTTAGGATGAGCTTCTCTTATTCTTAGTCTCATGTCTATCTCAGGCAAAGCGTCTACAAAATGATCAATTGCCAATATATCTGTGATATCAGCTGGAGCGTTGGGGTATGCTTGCCTGGTCAATTTTCTTATAGCTTGTGCTAGCTCTGGTATGGATTCCTCCTTTCCTCTGATTCGAGTTTGCAGTCTGGCGCGGAAAATCTCGGCTCTTTGCTCTGAACCATATCTAGTATTTAGAGAGCGTACTATGCTTTTGTAATCTCGTCGTTCTATTTGACTGAGTTCACTTAAAATGGAACGTGCAGGGCCTTTTAAGCATCCTGCTAAGTGAAGAGATTTGCTTGTGTAGTCCCACCCATTTATTTCAGAAATTATTTCAAATTGGGTAAGGTACTCTTCAAGATCTTCACTACCATCATAAAGTTGTGGTTTTGTATGAGTTGTTGCCCTTTGATTGTGAATTGAAGAATGAGAGGGATGCAATATGTCCCTATTTTCCCTGTTTGTTTCAGGTGATGGTAGTGTAGGAGTTGTCTCCCTTTGATTGCAAACTCTTGGTTGAATATAAGATGAACCCTCAATTTGCCCAAATGTGTCAGGTGATTGTGTCAGAGTTCTCCCCCTTGTATTGTGTGGAGATGAGTCATGGGGATGTGATGTTTGATTAGAACTCTGTACATTTGGTACAATTGTTTCAGTTTGTGGTGACTTGGTCATTATGGTGTTGGTTTGGCAGCTATGATTTGTAGAAGTCAGTGTTTTGTTTGTTTGCCTAACTTCATATGATTTGGGGTTGTGATTGCTCAGGTGTTGATTCTCAATTTGTGCAAGTCTATTTTTCAAGCATGACAGTTGATTTTCTAAGTCTGAACGCAGATCTGCTACATCTCTACCTAACCTATGCTGCATATCATAACAGATTTCTGTAGTTTCTGAACAAGCATTTCTAATTTCAAGTTTTAAGCTCTGCTTTAAAGATAGTAACTCTTGGAGGATGGTGGAGTTACCTCCCTTCTGAGCAGGACCATCACCTTCTGCATCATATGCACCTTGGATGTTTTGAGATACATTTGGGGATGTGTCTAATTCTCTATCAACGTACAATGGATGCTGAGATGAATGATGTCTAGGATTAAATATCACCTCTTCACTAGAATCTATTGTAGGTGCTGAGACAGTACCTTCTAGAGTTGATGTACCTTCTATGCTTGATGTAGACATCTTGTCAAACTACTTAATTTCACAAGTACAGAATAAATAAGGGCCCCACGTTGGGCGCCAATTGAAACGCATACACCTGCTGAAACCTGTAGTATTATAATGACCCACTATTTTATGAGTAAAGGTTGCAGACGTTTCAAAGTTTGTGAGCCCTCCTGTACCTGTCAGAAATCAAGTAATGACAAAGATGATTAAAAAATATCTATGAATTTATTAAGATAAAAAGCACAAAGTCAAACGCGCTCTTTAATGTAGTTCAGGTCTCTAGGTGTTGATATTTTCTCAGGGTGATGCCTGGCTATTCATAAGAAGGTGTAGAAGTTCTGAGAAGGTGATAATCTCTATTGATAAGTAGAAGGTACACTTGGTATAGAGAAGGTGTAGAAGGTGACCTATCAACTGAAGGTGTACACAACTATGGTACCTATCCAAGGTACATATAGTGTAGATAATATACAGGCTATATAATTGCAGTTATAATTCTAGTTGAAGGTGATAAAAGGTGATTGAAGGTGTTGAACTCTCTCTAGTTGCACCTTCTAAGGAAGGTGAGTAGGGATGCTGAATATGATACAGAAGGTGGTGATGGTGTTCCTACTAAACATCAATAGATCATGAATGGAATGTATGTTCAAATCTATGTAACTAATAGAGAAGGTGCAAAATATTCACCTTCGGAGCCGGATGGTCTGGCTGGAAAAGCTGCTGCTAGCTCATTTTGATGACCGAAGTGATGATTTCAGGTCGGGATCGGCCTTATATAGTGTTTATCACGTGACCCTTCATAATTATTCATGAAGGAAGATGGCGTCTGCGAATGAAAACACTGCTGAATTCTGCCTAGAGATTACGACTGATGCGGCTTATACAAAGTATTTAACGATGTCTTAACATTCATACGTGAGTAATTAAAAGGTGTAGATTCTGCTTATTATGTCTATAAATCATGGTGAATGGTATTTAAAGCTGAATCATCTTTCCGAGGTGACGATGTGCTGAGCACGTGTTGACATAATTATAGCTGGCTGTCAGCTGGGTGATTACGCTTAGTAATTCTATATAACACAAGTTGCTGATAGACAAAGTTGATAAATAGTTGTCTCTGCACCTCTAACTAATTGTTGAATAATCTTGGGGTTGTATTTCTCGCTGGATACAAGAATTGTTCGATCCTTGTTTACATACACTGTAGTACAGTACCGCACAAAAGTAAACATCAATACACATGACAATTGTAACTTCTTCATATCTCAGGAATAATCATTAACTACTATTATTCCTATTAATATAACATTATATATTCCAACAATATCAACAATAAATAAATCAGTAAACAACTATTACTGTCACAATGGGTTCATAACAATATATATTTTTTTACTGCATTGTACTCTGTAAATTAAATCATATAAAGCATATATCAAAAAGAATTGGATTTAAAAAAGTCTCAAGATCTACAGTATGTATACTATTTTGTTTTGTTCTTTGCTAAACCTTAATTATGTCCTTTGTAGTATTTGGATCTCTTCATAATCTTCCCTGCCGCAGGACTGTGGATATCGATAAATATGATTTACAGTGTCAAACCTACCACTCTATATACATTGTAAATCACGTGATAGAGGATGGATTCGAGAGGCTATCGCAACTTGACGTATTATTTGGGTGTAATGTTGAGAATTCATTGGTATGTGGACAACACTACCCCATTAACTCAACAATCTCTGGTATCTTCCAGCGCGCGATCAGCACCTGTAATGGAAAGAACATGTGTACTTTGAGTAAACAGTATTTTGAAGACAGTGAGAATTTATTTCGAAGCAATTGTCCATCCCTTCAGAGTTATCCAAATACGATGGTTCGTCAGAGTATTGAATATGAATGCATACCAGGTACCATGACGTCATAGAATTGTTATTTATATTTGTGTAGGGGTAGCACAGCAAAAATGACAAATATTTCTGTCTTACAATTTGTAAGTTTAATTAATGAAACAAAAAATCAAGGTACAATAATTTAAAAAGTTAATGACTGCAATATCTCTTATATCTACCTAGAATTAATAAATACATAAACATTATTAAATAAATATTTGTGCAGTTAAGGTACATGTTCGTACCTAATATTGAACAAAAATTACATGTAATAATCCAAAATTGATTCTCTTCAGAAACTGAGAGATCTGTCATCGATATGTGTACATATCTAAATGTAAGTCGCGAGGGAAACTTATATTTGAAGGCAGACGGTGGAAATAAGATTTGCATGTGTGAAATATTGGGGACCGTATCCGGATTACTAATTCTGCGTTCTTACAAGACAGGCATCACAACTAACCCGAGGTTCCAAAATACTCCCGAAAGTAAGCAATTCTCTGCGTATGATAATTTATCCAAACAATCATATTTGGTTGGATTAATACGACTTCTTGAAACAACATTTTCAGAAACAGAGAAGGAAGGAGACACAGTGTACGGGCGAAATTTGTCAATCAGAAGTGATCGTATATCCATTACTGTGAACTTGACATCCCTAGAAAGCATGGTATTTCTGAAAGTATTAATTGAAGGTATGTTGATATCAACATTTTTTTTCTAATCTTCCTCTTTAATATAACACAGAGAACAGAGACCTTGCATTTTGCTTTATATCCAAGAATGAAATCATATTGATGTATTAAAACCGTCATCAGAAAAGATCGTAGTCCATCAACAAGGAGATGGAGTATGCACTTACATTAAAGGGAGACCTGGTCTTCAATCCATTAATTGGTCATAAAGATCATTCATTTATACTGTCAAAATTAGTAAGATAAATTTTTACAAAAATTATCTTTACTTTTTAATCCTGATAAGGATAACTGATTTATGTAAAAGTATTGATGAATAATGGTATTCATTAAAGTAAATTTACGTTAATCTTTAGATGGTACCGCTCGAACACAAATGTTGGATCACATTTCAAATCTTAGGATATACTGGTAGTGATTTTATAAATCAATAGGTAAAAACCTTAAGATAACGAACAGTGATGGATCTCAATAAACCTACAAACAATACAAATTTGTGAACAGGGCATAAACCACGGACCCCTGGAAATTGCAGAGGTGGGATCAGGTGCCTAGGAAGAGTAAGCATCCCCTCTCGAACGGTCACACCCGCTGTAAGCCCCGCGATGTATTGATCAGGTAGACCGAATAATCCGTGGTTAAGTTTAGCATAAAACAATGGCCTAACAATCGGTATGAAATATATCAGTCAAAAAATAACGCAATAATAATTCGTATTATTTACTAACAAGGTCATTATAACGACCATAGAAAATACAAAATGCTGACTTCAAATGAGATTGTTCGATTGATTGAATGTATTATGTTTACGCCCCGTTCAAGAATTTTTCACTCATATAGAGACGTCACCATATACCGGTGAAGGACTTCAAATTTAGACCTTTACTCGGCACTGAGGGCCATTGAGCAGTGAGGGTTCTTTTTCGTGCTAACGCCTACCGCGACACGGGGCCTCGGTTTTTAAGGTCTCATCCGAAGAACCCGCAACTTTCACTCAAAGTGTCGAGCGCTTGGCGAAGGAACAGTTGCTACCTATTTTTTATCAGTCACGGCCGTGATTCGAACACACGATCTTGAGGTTTTTGGAATCCCTGTAACGAACTTATTTGTAGTCAGAGCATGCTCTTGAGTATCGAATAAATTGGGAGACATAAACACCATATGTAGATGATAGTGGAATATTACTACTCCACATATTTTTACATTACATTAGTTTACATATTAACTGAATATAGAAACCAAGAAAACAATCAGATCAAAAACTCTTCAGTCAAACTAGAAATTTGGTTCAATGTAGAAAGTCGAAATAAAATTATTTTAACAAAATTAGATAAAAAAAAACAAAAACAAAGGATCTCTTAAGAAATTATGGTTACGGTTAAAAGAAGCACAATATCAAAACAAAATTAAATCAGATAGTAAAACAATTTCACGCATTGATGGATATTTTTTTTCTCTTCCAGATAAGTATATACCCCCGAGTACCCAAATTCCGACACCATAATTGGAAAACACACCTCTTTACCATCTGAATTATTTTTTGAATTGTGTTTTGTTTGCAACACTTACATGTAGTTATGAACTTAAGCACTGTTTTATCTACTCTTTTAAAAAATTCAGTTATCGAGCTCACATAACACTACTGACAGTCAGTAGAGAGCTCGCTCCCTGATTGGAAGATCGTGAGTTCGAATCTCGGCCGCGACAGACCCAAGTCGATAAAAAATGGGTAACAACTGTTCCTTCGCCATGCACTTGGCACTTTGAAGTGAAAGTTGCGGGTCCTTCGGATGGCACGATAAAGATCCCTCACTGCTCAATGGCCCTGAGTGCCGAGTAAAGGTCAAAATTTGAAGCCCTTCACCGGTATATGGTGACGTCTCTATATGAGTGAAAAATTCTCGAATGGGACGTTAAACAACACACAATCAATCAATAACACTACTGATATTAATGAACTTACATTCGATGTACATTACATCATATGAATGTAACTCCGTCACGTAGATATTATATTTATATATATATATATATATATATATATATATATATATATATATATATATATATATATATATATATATCCAAAAAATGAAAAGAAATATCACAGTGTCCGGTAATTAATATGAAAATTAAAAATAACAAGGCAACAATGTTAGTAAAACGTAAGCGCTTTCATTATACTTCTTCAGACGTTTTACAATTCAAAACAATTCAAACATGTGACGTTATAACGCTACCTGATGATAACGTCAACAACAATGCAATGACGTCACAATGCTTATAGAGGAAACAATTATAGAGTCTAAGTAAAATTACTTTGTTCATTAATAGCGTAATAAATAATAAAGTCATGAAACAGTCTATATTAAACTATTTAAGGACGGTTTAAAAATCTTGATGAAATGTTTTTCTTTTTCCCGTCTTTCTAAAAGATTTTCTGTTTTGAGTTTATAAAAGGGATAAACTGAGAATTGTCCCTGTCCACAAACAGCAAGATGTTCACTGAGTTTTATTTTTCTGTACTCGGGTTGGTTGATATGTTGTCTATGTATGCGTATACGAGTGCGTAGTGTGGTCCCCGTTTCTCCTATGTATAATTGTCCGCATCCAGCGCATGTTATACAATAAATAACATTTTTAGATGCACAGGTCATATCTGCATTGATAGTAAATTCTTTATTTCCGAGTGTAAAAGTACTTCCCTCTTTAATATACTGGCAGGTTCCACAACGTGAATCAGAGCATTTATTGACCACATACAAATTCCGTTGGTGAAATGTAGATTTACACAATATTCTTCGGAGGTTTTTAGGTTGTCTTTTACTGTTGATGAATATTATATATATATAACTGGATTATCAGTTTCCCGAGAGTGACGGAGTTACGGTAAAGACGGAGTTAGAGGGTTATAATAATATTTTTAAAATAACTTATTTTTCAGAAAATGCCGCATCAGTTGCCAGAGCGGAATCCCTGATCTTCCATGATCCTTCAACTATCGACACAACCAAGAAAAGTACCAATAAAAACTACACCAAACCTGGATTTCTAAAATCACTGCTCTCTACAACTGAGTCAGCTGACTTGTCATCTAATGTCCAAGTTAATACTGACTTTGGAACACACCAAGGTACTCAACAGTGTCAGAAGAGTAAGTTGAAGGCCAATATCATGTTAATCATCTAAACGGGAATACATGTTTCGTTTGTTAAAACGTAAATGAAGTATTCAATTGAAAATTATAGAATACAAATGGAAAATTATACAATACAAATAAAGAAAAATATACAAGACAAATGGGAAATTACCCGGTATATAATACAAATGAAAAATTATAGAACAGAAAGTTATACGATAAAAATTGAAAATTATACAATACAAATGGAAAATTACGCAATATACATTTCAAAAGATTGAACATTCTAACGTTTGGCATGCCATAATTAGAAAAAATTATTTAGACATGATAATAACACAAGATATCTAAAGAGAATTACATGGAGTACCCCACTCCCCAGAATCGCAGGAATTTAGACTTTCGTCGCCTGCGTGGCGCAGTGGTTAAAGCGTCTGTTCTAGAGTCGCGGAGTAAGGAGTTGATCCTCATGTCGCGGGTTCGAATCCCACTGCGGGACGTGGAATATGAGTGAAAAAATTCTCGAAAGGGACGTTAAACAAACACTTTCAGAAATAAATGCACTGGCATACTGTTTACTACCATTGTTTTCTACACAAAACAGCGTCAAAATTCTGCAGGAAAATTCGTCTCACACCATGAAGTGGTATGTACTAATTTTTAGGGGGATATGTTCTTGGATTTTGGATAAAAATCTGTTTCTAAAATTACATCGGAAAAATATCGTATTGATTTTTAGGTCACCTGAGTTTACTCAGCGTGCGTCGTGCGTTAATATTTGAACATTTTCAGCTTCTTCTCTGAAACCGCTCAATGAATTTCAACAATTTTGGCATATAGCATCTATGGGTGAAGGGGGACAAAATTTGTGAATTTCATGGTCCCTGCCCCTCCCCCCCCCGGGGCCTGAGGGGTGGGGCAAAAACCACTAAAATTAATGCAATCTTTAAAAATCTTCTTCTTTACTCCTGGACACCAAGCAGTCAAACTGTTGGCATGATTGTAATGAGCATTAAGCCCTCTACCAAGATTGTGAAATTCATGGCCCCAGGGTTAGGGGTTCTGGGGCTAGGGTGGGGCTATATAGATCATATAGTAAAAGTGCATTATTTCTTTGAAAATCTTCTTCTCTGCTCCTGGGTATTAAATAAACTAAGTACATAGTTATGATGAAGAAGAATGTCTCTTCCAGAATTATAAATTTCATGGCCCCTGGATCAGGGGTTCTGGTGTTAGGGCGAGGCTCTATTGATTATATAGTGAAAATGCATTAATTCTTTGAAAATCTTCTTCTCTGCTCCTGGGTATGAAATAAACTAACTAAGTACAAAGTTATGATAAACAAGAGTGCCTCTTCCAATATTGTGAATTTCATGGCTCCTTGGTCAGGGGTTCTGGTGAAAGGGGGGGGGGGCTCTATTGATTAAATAGTGAAAATACATTAATTATGTGAAAAATCTTCTTCTCTGCTCATGGGTATTAAAGAAACTAACTAAGAACATAGTTATGACGCAAGAGTGCCTCTTCAGAAATTGTGAATTTCATGGCCCCTGGATCAGGGGTTCTGGTGTTAGGGCGGGGCTCTGTTGATTATATAGTGAAAATGCATCAATTCTTTGAAAATCTTCTCTGCTCCTGGGTATTATTTAAACAAAGGAAGTGCATGGTTATGATAAGCAAGAATGCCTCTTCCAAAATTGTGAAATTCATGGCCCCAGGGTCAGGGGATCTGGTGAAGGGGGGGGGGGGGGCTCTATTGATAATAAAGTGAAAATTCATAATTTCTTTCAAAAAAAAATTTTCTAATTCTGGTTATGAAGGAAAGAAAGAAGTGTATAGTTATGATGAGCAAGGATGCTTTTTACAAAATTTTTAAAACTTGTGGTCCCAGGGGTTCTGTTGTTTCTCTGAGAGGGGGGTGGGGGGGGGCTCTATTGATAATATAGTGAAAATGTGTGAATTCTTTGAAAATCTTCAACTAATTGCATAGTTATGATGATGAGGGTACCTCTTCCAAATTTGTAAAATTCATGACCCTGGAACATAGGTTCTGGTGTTAGGGTAGGGCTGTGTTAAATAGTGAAAATGCATTATTTCTTTGAAAATCTTCTGTGCTCATGAGTATATTGGAGGCAAACAGAGTAAAAGTTTTAATAAGCAAGGGTATTTTTACCAGAATTTTTGAACATCTGGACCATTTAGTCAAGTGTTCTGGTCCTGGCCAGGGCTCTATTAATTTATATTCTACTGAGTGAAGTTATTCCCCTTTGCCATTCACCTTTGATAATTAATCATTGTAGACAATGTATTTATAAGGTTAATAAAATAAGAAAATTATGCAATAACATTAATTGTATAGTACAAAAAGTACTTTCATAGTTTTAATGATCAGGTAGACTTGGAAATAATAGATGAATAAAAATGTGAGGCCAATGTGAGAGGTAATAATATCGGGTTAAAAATAGATACTTTGTTAAAAGTCTGCATGGTAATAGTGATAAATGGGGGACAGATAGATAGATGCTAGACCAATTATTTTGTTTATTTTAATCGTACTATTTTTCTTGCTTTTGGACAACAAAGCTTCATTTATCAGTTTATGGATCATCTAAATTGTTGTACTCAGATGACCGTTAAGGCCCTTGGGCCTCTTGTTATGGAAAATAAAACAGAAACAAATTCTATTTATTCACTGCAATATTTAAACATTGGAATTGAATTTTAGAATCCACTCATTTTTAAATTTGCTATCTGGCCTGGATTAGTACATACCTCCTCATGGCGTAAGTTGAATTTGCAGTCTGCAAGCAGAGTTGACGCTGTTTACGGAGATTAAAGAAAATAAATACAAGCACGTTATATATGGTTGTGTAGAAAAATTATCGTACAAGACAATGATAATAAACAGTTTGCCAGTACATTTCATCTGAAAGTGTAAATGGCCTAGGAGGGGGTACTCCATGTACTTTGAGTTAGACACCTTGTGTTATTATTCTACTATGGGTAAAAAGCATGAATACAGCCTGTGGTTTACCCGTATTTATTTACAGTTTTACAATCCGATGTTGAAAACTTATTAATTCGAAATGAATTTTTTTTATGTTATCGAAAAATAGTACTAGTAAGAAACAAGTTTAAAAAAGTTATTAAAATGAATAGAAGATAATCAAAAATTGCATAATTATAATAATTTGAATTAATTGGTTGTGAAGAGAACAGTTTTGTTTGGTATTGCCAAACATTTTGGTTTAATTCAAGTTCATTCTGGTGAAAGCATTCAATTTGTTAATACAATTAGGGCGGAATGATTTTAGCCTTTACATCCAGAATTTTTCTTAGCTTTTTCTCTGAGCATCGGTTCATTTTGGGTTATGGTCAATAATCACTACTGCCATGTCCTCAAATTTGTAAACTTCAAGGTTGAAATGTTTTAAAACAAACGAATTCATTGAGTACCATGGTCTTATAGTACAATGGTGTTGTTTGACTCTCTCGTGTTCCCAACATATTGTTTGGAACAAACCTAAAAGCTGATGAGATATATACAATTGTATGTTAGACAGGACAATTTCTCTAATATTTTTCAGTATATATATATATATATATATATATATATATATATATATATATATATATATATATATATATATATATATATATATATATATATATATAAAACTGTATCTCACTTCCATTCTCAATGACTGTGTAGTGTAGGGCAGCGCCGCGAGAATTCCATCGGCATCGAAAGCAAGTTTTTTGACCTGCCTAGATAGCCGAGCGGTCTAGCGCGCTGTTCCTGTACTGCTAGGAGACAGATTCCGTAGGTCGAGAGTTCAACTCCGGGCTGGGGCGGAAGTGGGTATCCTTATAAAAGTGAATTTCTTTGTGCTTTCTATATATATATATATATATATATATATATATATATGTGTGTGTGTGTGAAATAACATACCGCATTGCTCTTTTCATCTTGATAAAGAATTTAAATGATTTATTTTTTTTTTCATATTCTAGAATATCATGGTTGGTTGGTCACGGGTACCATTTTAGTTTTTCTCGTTGTCACATCTCTTTTCATCTGGAAATTCAAACCTGGAAAAAACAAGTGAGTGTCATTGCTGTGAAACAATCTCTCTCTCTCTCTCTCTCTCTCTCTCTCTCTCTCTCTCTCTCTTTGATGACCTAAATAATTTTTTGTTTTTTTTTCGTTGTTAAGGATGATGTCCACAGACACTTCCGATAGTACAAAGAAAGGGAAGAATTTGACATCAGTAGAGAATATTGAAAGGAACAATAGTGCCATACAAATATCGTCAGAAATGTCACACAGAGTTGTGTACACAAGCCTTATTTCATCAACGGATCAAACTGAAGATTACGAGGAACCCATTCACTTTCCATTGCCACAATCTAATGTGTATATTGAGATTCTTCCAGATCTGAAGTGGAGTACAAAAGAAATTGAAAAGTGAATAATCACCGAATTTTCAGTTTATATAATATCTTTTAACGTGAAGCTGTGAAATAATAATATATGTACCGATGAAACATTGCATGTGTTTTACTTCATAAAAGCAATGACATGAATCGGAACTCGATATTTTGAGATACACAAAATATTTGTATATCATATATCATATAGAATAATATATCAATTTAATTAAACTGTGGGAACATAAACTGATGCCCTAAATCAACGCAAAGAAAACGTATATTTTAAAATCAAGCATAGTGTATGAATGGTCATTTGGGACAGCTATACCGTAAAAGAAAAGAGTGCACTTTGCTAAAAGATTTTGATTACCCATTCGTTGTTTTTTTTTTTCAAAAAAAAAACAAAACATATAGCAAGAACTTTTATTTATTAAGTGATACAATAAATGTATGATTCGTTTGCAGAAAATTTGTTTGTAATACTACAAGTAGTTTTGTATTTATACGCCCTACAGACTCTATTGAATGGATTTTCTGTGTTACGTGTTGGTATCAATTGAGACTGATGTTTTTTGATCAGGAGAAAAACAAAGTTAATGTAATTTACAATATATTTTTATGCCCCCTGATCGAAAGATCCCGGGGGTATATTGTTTTTGTCCTGTCTGTCTGTTTGTCTGTCTGTCTGTTGTCAACATTAACCTTGCCCATAACTTTTGATCGGTTGAAGGGATGACTTTCATATTTCACATGTGTATTCCTTGTGACAAGACCTTTCTTTGGGTACCATCGTATTCGACCTTTTGACCTTGACCTTGGAGTTTGACCCACTTTTGTAAAATTTTATGAGACTTTAACCTTGGCCATAACTTCTGAACAGTTAGTGCTTGGGGTTTCAAACTTCACATGTGTATTCTTTGTGAAAAGGCCTTTCTTTGGATACCAACAACTTTGAGCTTTTGACCTTGACCTTGAAGTTTGACCTACTTTTGAAAAACTTTAACCTTGGCCATAACTTTTGAACAGTTGGTGCTTGGGGTTTCAATCATCACATGTGTATTTCTTGTGACAAGGCCTTCCTCTGGATATCAATCTCTTTGACCTTGACCTAGGAGTTTGACCTACTTCTGAAAAACTTTAACCTTGGCCATTACGTTTGAACGGTTGGAGCAAGGGCTTTCATACTTCATATATGTAATCCCTGTGACAAGACCTTCCTTTGGATACCAACCACTTTGACCTTTTGACCTTGACATGGGAGTTTGACCTACTTTTGAAAAACTTTAACCTTGGCCAGAACTTTTGAATGGTTGATGCTAGGGCTTTCATACTTCACATATGTAATTCTTGTGACACCACCTTCCTTTGGATACCATTCACTTTGACCCTTTCACCTTGACCTAGGAGTGTGACCTACTTTTGAAAAACTTTAACCTTGACCATAACTTTTGAATGGTTGGTGCTAGGGCTTTCATACTTCACATATGAAATCCTTGTGACAAGATCTTCCTTTGGATACCAACCACTTTGACCTTTTGACCTTGACATGGGAGTTTGACCTACTTTCGAAAAACTCTAACCTTGGCCATAACTTTTAAATGATTGGTGCTAGGGCTTTCATACTTCACATATGTAATCCTTGTGACAAGACCTTCCTTTGGATACCAACAAATTTGACTTTGACCTTGACGTTTTACTTACTTTTAAAAAACTTTAACCTTGGCCATAACTTTTGAACAGTTGCAGCTAGGGTTTAAAATTTCACAGGTATATTCCTCGAGACAAGACCTTTCTTTGGGTACCAACATTTTTTATCTTTTGGCCTGGATTTTGACTTGCATTTGAGAAACTTTAACCTTCGCCATAAGCTGCCATACGGGGGCATCAGTGTTTCACAAACACATCTTGTTTTATTATTATCTTTCTTCAGTAATAGAACAAATGTACTATTCCTCTTATCCTATTTTGACTTGGAACAGTCTTTATTCAAAAAAGACATTTTTTTTAAAATAAGTATAATATTGGTAATCGTGTATAGATTGACCTCTTCTAAATTCAACTAATAAATCATCAATCAGTCAACTTTCCTTAGTTTACTTTCCTAAGTTAATAATACAAGGATATCGGCAGTTTTGTTTAACCTCAATATTTTGTAAATTCTATGGTGATACAATGCCCTTGTCAGTAAAGACAATGTTTTTTTTTAAGTAAGTGTTTGAAAGTATATCTTCATAATATGTTTTAAAAAACATACATTTTTGCTCAGCAAAAATATGGAGCAAGGACTCATTCTACGTTTAAAAATAGAAATACAATTTAATGACGCAACATTTGTATATTTTTGAGAAATATTTGGTCAAGTTACTCAAGGGTCATATTTCAAGCAAGTTTTAAACGCCACCACTTTTTTATTAGCTGTGTGGTGTATACGTAGTGGTTAGCGTGTCAGTCTGAAAGATATTTATACTTAGGACTTTTAGATGGGTTCAATACTAAAGAATCCCCCCTTTTTTTTACCATAGATTAATTTTTGCCGAGAGAATTTTTCCGCAGAAACGTTTTGTTTGTTATAATTTCATGCCTTTCAATAATTAGAACTTTGCTCTAAAACTTAGTTCATAAATTAAATTTGCTTTTACATATTTTAAGCTATAATGAAATATATGGAGATAACGAACAGTATTCAACCTCGAAAGTCCATTAAACAATACAAAATAGGAGCAGAGCAAACACGGACCTCCAAAACATCAGATGTGGGATCAGGTGCCATGGAGGAGTGAGCATCCCCTGCTGACCGGTCAGTTTGTACGCCTTGTACGCCCATCTTTTTATCTTTTTAAAAAACAGAGGGGAAAACTGTTTATAGGTCGTCAGGTCCTGATTAAATGAGTGCATCTTCATCTGCCACTTTGAGCCAAGGATACCGAGATTCTCTATCTTTACCTTAAAGATTAATGTTTTGTGACAAATATTATTTCCTAGACTCAGAGTTTTAGATATATACCCGGTATGACTATATATCCGGTAAGATTATTTTCAGAAAAAAAATGTGTTCACAGCTGCATCATGTCGTCTTTGATAGTGTTAATTTTTTCAATCACCATGTCCAAGAACTATGTGCCTTCACAAGCGTTTATACCTCTCAAACATCATGTCTTTTTTTTGCTTGAATATTCTGATGTTAATAATAATAATAATAATCTTTATTCAGGAATATGCATTATGCAATGTACATGAATATTGAGGTGTGAGTATTATACACATATAAAACTTAATTGAATAGACATGATTTAAGAGATGAATTTAAAACGAATTAACTAATAAATCTTATTTTGCATATAAATCAACTAAGCATATTATATTGTATATATGCCTAAACCCAAGGATAGCCCATGAAAGCCAGTATGGCTTATTTCCAATATGGTCCTTGATGTATTTCATTAAAGTATTTGCATATGTTCCCGCCCGTCCAGCACTCACTCACTTAGTGATCAAATATCTATCTTAGTTTTTTTCTATCTTCTAGGCTATTATAGTATTCTAAAGTATTTCTACATATCATTTTATAATCACATATTATGTTTTATAGCTACACCATAATCGTTTTTGTATACAAAAGTTGGAACTGTGGAACCCTTCAGTGCTTTTATTCCAGACTTGTCAATTTAAGAATTTTAATTATTGTAATTTACATGCACCTGTCCCTTGTTTTGAAATATTCTCATTGAATGCTGATGGACTGTATTGCCCAATAGTTACTGAAAAAAACTACTGATAACATAGTTCACTTCACTTGATGATAGATTGATATTTCAGCACCAGAATGATTGGTTATAATTAGCAATTTACCACCTTTAACTAATTAAGTTTATCACTGTTTCTTTACAAGAAGGCGGTAAATTAAAGCCCGAAAAGGTACAAGAAGATCATTTAAAAGTATCACATTTTCCAACATCTTCAGAACTAATCTTAAATATTTTAATTTTACTATGCTTTAGAAACATTCAAGAGATTACACTTTTTTGCAGAAATAGTGGAATAGTTCGTCATCTGATATAGAATTGTTATGCTACAATTTCCTCTTTTTAACAATTTTCAATCATCAGAAAGTCAAGTGATGTCACACTATAGTGCAAATATCAAGGAGGTATTCGTGGAAAAAAGATTTCACTTACTTGAACACGATCTTTAACTCGGATGTAGGCTTAATTACCACAAACGGACGGAACCTTTGGAACCTTGGATGTTGTATTTCGAGAAATTTGTACACAGAACGCATGTAAAGTACTCAAAAAGCATCTTCTATTTGTAAAATTTATTAGACCTTTTAGGAGATAAAGAAGGGCGTTACATGGATTAGAGATTGACGATGTTGCACACTTTGGAACTTATCATACTGCACTTTCTTTTGAATTTAAAAGGTACAGTAACCTGCTTTTTCAGCACTATTTTCCCTACTGATCACAAGGAAAGTGGACAACTCAGCAAGGGTTTTCCAAAAACTGTTATCAGACTATAAAAAGTAAGAAGTACATGATTTATTATTGTTCAATTCTAGCAGAAGCTACACTTCTACTCATAAAAACACGAAAGTGATACTTAGAAAAAAAAGTTTCAAGTTTGCATGGTATTTTGAATTTAATCACTGAATGTGTCATGTTTCTGGATTTTTTTCTTCTTTTTTTTCAAAATTCATTTCCGGAGAATATAAGTTTCGTGTCATTTGATCTTGTATTTTAAGCTGAATGTATCCTGTACAGCTCCCCTTGTTTGGAAACACAGCACTGGAAAAAGTACGAAGTCCGTTGTCCCGAGAATCAGACGATATATATAAGACAGCACAATATTAGAGATAGCTGTCAGGATGAAGGATTAGGATGTGATGAAAAGACAGTTAACTCTTGTAGTTCTTCCTTACCACTCAATAGAACAATTACAGATTACCAGACACCATTTACAGAGTCTGTAAATAAATGCAATGGCAAAAGGGAGTGCATCCTGTTCACAGAGTACTTTGAAAGGATTGAATCAAAGGATGGCGCTTTATGCAGAAACAACCTAAATACGTCAATATTTCAGCGAATTGAATATGAATGCATACCAGGTATTCTTAAACGAAATTTCACGTAACAATGGTAGTGTATGGCAAACGTCTTACAATTTATCCTCTTAACTATTTTACATTTTATTTATTCATTATTTTTACAGATGTCCACGTAGTAGATAACTGTGTAAGAGAAGTGGACAACCAAACTGAAGTACACGATATATATCTACGCTTCTCTGTGAAGAACAGGAATCATTCTTGTCGTTTGATTGGCGGGCTATCAGGAATAGAAATTTTACACACCTACAATTCAGCATTGCGCCTACTTTTCCAACATATTCCTGTTTATGGTAAGCTGGTTTTATTCATTATGAAGCTTCTCCAAATACAGAAGGGGTGATTTGGGTTTATAAAATATAGCTGATAATTAAAAGAACGCCAACACTAAAAGTCAACTTGATCAGTAACAACGACGTAGTTAATACATAGATATCTATAACAGATAGTGTTAAACAGTCAAACTAAATTCTCTGAATCATGAATACTTAAAATGTTAAAATACAAAAAACTGGCAGCATCACCTCTACACAATTGCATCTAAAAAGTATTTATACAACACTAAAATGCATTGTAAATTTAAGATTTTGGTTATTTTGTTTTGCTTATACAGAACACTTAGAGCCTAGTATTGGTGTATATGGGGTGAAAATTGCTATACAGACAATCAGTCTAGTTCTCGAAATACAAGGATTTGATTACAGTAGCTACGTACTTGTAAAACTACTTGGTATGTTGTTTTAATTATTTTGACTGAGAAAGAAGCGATATAAGAAACTAAGTTAAATGTATTTCATGTTATCTTTAACATTTTATGCGGAAAACAAAATGCTTTTTAGGTTTTGAATGAATTAATATGGTCTAAAGTACATTCTTCACCAGTTTATCGAATATTTTCTTTTTTATGCCAGTGAGAAAAATTTCAAGTGGTGCATTACAAGTCGGACCTTTTCATGAAAAAACTGAAACTGCCAAAGGTTCAGGTAAAGACTAAGAAGTCGATTTTAGTATCCCAATGCTAGTCTCAATAAAAAAAAAATGCTATATGCATTTTGAACGCCTTATAACTCTATCTTATCTTTTCCAGAAAATTTACGCGTCAACGTTTTTCACTGGATTCTCACTGTATTCGCTGCCATGTTAATTCTACTGGTATTATTTTTGATCTTTCAACGGAGGTAAACTATAAAACATTAATCAAATACTCAGTCATCAAGCAAGAAAAATGCCACAAATTTAATTATCGGTTAAAAAAGGGCAAAAACAATGCTATAAAATCACTTATTTTCGTGGGGTATCATTTTCTTGGTTTGAGGGGAAATATTGGTTCGTCGGGGTTTGATTACGAGATTGGTCAACAAGCATAAAATTCGTAGGTCTCCTCATGCCACGAAAACAACAAAAATTAACCCCGATAAAATTAATGATTTCACATTAATTTTTTTTCTTTGAGTGTAATGTCAAAGGCCTAGTTTCAAAAATAATAACTCGATCCCGATATAATGAATGTTCGTATGAAAACAAGTTTAGACAACCGTATTCCTTCAAGGCTATCGCTTTTCAGTGTTTATTGTGTATAGAGTTTTACTCGAAGCCAACTGAAAATTGATATAGTGACTGGCGCATAGCCAAATATCATCAATAGATGTACAATGAAATATATGGAGATAACGAACAGTACAAGTCACTAATCTTTGGATTGAGACCTCTAAAAGCTACGTCGCGGAAACTGAAGATTACCTGCATTTGCGTTAATCCATATCATGGAGCCTCATCTATGATGAAGCTTTGATTTGAATGAAAAATTATTGCTAGAGTGCTTAGTTCATACGATTAATCAATCACTCGATCCCTGTCTTTGTACTCTGTTTCTTTGCTTTCATTTGTAAGCAGGTTTTTGTGCATGTGCACATGTAACACAACTAAATGTCTCAAATTATCTCAAATAATCCAACTGCTATTCTTGCGTTTGACCAATTCTTTCCTTCTGATTTTGATTTTGTCATGCCTATTTCCCTTTTCGCTTCTTTTCATCTAATTTCATATGATTCCTTTTTTTCATTACGGACTTCTTATTCACTTCTGATCATAAATGTGTACTTTTTTGCTTAAGTCTTATCCATCCAATTGTCTTATTAGTCGTATGAAATTACATTTTCTTTTAGATTTATAACAAAACAGTTTCAATTTTCTTGATACCTTTTTTCTTTTTAGCTCACCTGAGCCGAAGGCTCAAGTGAGCTTTTCTGATCACTTTTTGTCCGTCGTCCGTCTGTCCGTCCGTCCGTCTGTCCGTCTGTCCGTCTGTAAACTTTTCACATTTTCGACTTCTTCTCAAGAACCACTGGGCCAAATTCAACCAAACTTGCCACAAAGTATCCTTGGGTGAAGGGGATTCAAGTTTGTTCAAATGAAGGGCCACGCCCCCTTTCAAGGGGAGATAATTAGGAATTAGTGAAAAAATAATGGCATCATTTAAAAATCTTCTTCTCAAGAACCACTGGGCCAGGAAAGATGAAACTTATGTGGAAACATCCTCAGGTAGTGTAGATTCAAGTTTGTTCAAATCATGACCCCTGGGGGTAGGGTGGGGCCACAATGGGGGATCAAAGTTTTACATAGAAATATATAGGAAAATATCTTTAAAAATCTTCTTCTTAAGAACAGCAAAGCCATGATTGGTCATATTTATATGGAAGCATCCTCAGGTAGTAAAGATTCAAGTTTGTTCAAATCATGACCCCCGGGGGTAGGGTGGGGCCACAATGGGGGATCAAAGTTTTACATAGAAATATATAGGAAAATATCTTTAAAAATCTTCTTCTTAAGAACAGCAAAGCCATGATTGGTCATAATTATATGGAAGCATCCTCAGGTAGTGCAGATTCAAGTTTGTTCAAATCATGACCCCCGGGGGTAGGGTGGGGCCACAATGGAGGATCAAAGTTTTACATAGAAATATATAGGAAAATATCTTTAAAAATCTTCTTCTTAAGAACAGCAAAGCCATGATTGGTCATAATTATATGGAAGCATCCTCAGGTAGTAAAGATTCAAGTTTGTTCAAATCATGACCCCCGGGGGTAGGGTGGGGCCACAATGGAGGATCAAAGTTTTACATAGAAATATTTAGGAAAATATCTTTAAAAATCTTCTTCTTAAGAACAGCAAAGCCATGATTGGTCATATTTATATGGAAGCATCCTCAGGTAGTGCAGATTCAAGTTTGTTCAAATCATGACCCCCGGGGGTAGGGTGGGGCCACAATGGGGGATCAAAGTTTTACATAGAAATATATAGGAAAATATCTTTAAAAATCTTCTTCTTTAGAACAGCAAAGCCATGATTGGTCATATTTATATGGAAGCATCCTCAGGTAGTAAAGATTCAAGTTTGTTCAAATCATGACCCCCGGGGGTAGGGTGGGGCCACAATGGAGGATCAAAGTTTTACATAGAAATATATAAGAAAATATTTTAAAAAATCTTCTTCTTAAGAACAGAAAAGCCATGATTGGTCATATTTATATGGAAGCATCCTCAGGTAGTGCAGATTCAAGTTTGTTCAAATCATGACCCCTGGGGGTAGGGTGGGGCCACAATGGAGGATCAAAGTTTTACATAGAAATATATAGGAAAATATCTTTAAAAATCTTCTTCTTAAGAACAGCAAAGCCATGATTGGTCATATTTATATGGAGGCATCCTCAGGTAGTGCAGATTCAAGTTTGTTTAAATCATGACCCCCGGGGTACGGTGGGGCCACAATGGGGGATCAAATTTTTACATAGAAATATATAGGAAAATAATTTTTAAAAATCTTCTTCTTAAGAACAGCAAAGCCATGATTGGTCATATTTATATGGAAGCATCCTCAGGTAGTGCAGATTCAAGTTTGTTTAAATCATGACCCCGGGGGGTACGGTGGGGCCACAATGGGGGATCAAAGTTTTACATAGAAATATATAGGAAAATATCTTTAAAAATCTTCTTCTTTAGAACAGCAAAGCCATGATTGGTCATATTTATATGGAAGCATCCTCAGGTAGTGCAGATTCAAGTTTGTTCAAATCATGACCCCTGGGGGTAGGGCCACAATGGGGGATCAAATTTTTACATAGAAATATATAGGAAAATATTTAAAAAAATCTTCTTCTTAAGAACAGCAAAACCATGATTGGTCATATTTATATGGAAGCATCCTCAGGTAGTGCAGATTCAAGTTTGTTTAAATCATGACCCCTGGGGGTAGGGTGGGGCCACAATGGGGGATCAAAGTTTTACATAGAAATATACAGGAAAAAATCTTTCTCTCAAGAACAGAAAAGCCATGATTAGTAAAATTGATATGGAGGCATCCTTGGGTAGTGTAGAATGAAATTTGTTCAAATGAGAGACCCCGGGGGTAGGGTGGGGCCACAATGGGGGATCAAATTTTTACAAATGAATATATGGGAAAAAATCTTCTGCTCAGGAACAGCAATGCCATTTGTTATATTGATATGAAAGCATCATCAGGTAGTTTAAAATTCAAATCCCTCCCCCCCCCCCATTAACTTTTCAATTCTAAACTGATTTTTTTTTTTCCCCTAGCCAATGTGCTCAGGTGAGCGATGTGGCCCATGGGCCTCTTGTTTTTTTTTTGCGACAGTTGGAAACAAAGGCATTATATATCGTTTAAACTAGAAATATTTCTTTCAATGTGGCTCTCAAAGAAAATTCTCCAAATAGTATTTTTTTTTTATGATAATAGAAAATGTATTGCAGAAAACAAAGTACCAGGCCGATAGTAATCAATATTGACGAAACAGATGAAAGACTTGTATTCAGATTTCATCCTGAGAAACAACACAATGCTTCCAAGGTAGAAATGCATAAAGCAGAGCGTTTGTGCGATCAGTCCGGAACGAACAGGAAACAAACGAAAGACCATCCGAATCCTCGGGAGTGTGTCTGCAATCAAACTACATTTCACACCAGCCAAGTTTCCCTCCATCTGTCCAAAGAAGAGTGTTCGTATGATCAAGAAAAGGTTAGTACCACACAAACTTCCATTATGTCCACAGATGAGTGTTCCTATGATAAAACTATGGATAGTACCAGACAAGCTTCACAACGACTGAACACGCCTCTTCAAAATACCAACCAGTTGATTTCCCACCAAATGTATGCAGAGGAGTGTTCAAATGATCGACTTTATGCTAGTAGCAGACAAACTTTCGATACGTCCATAAACGATTGTTCCTATGACAAAGCCAGAAATAGTACCAGACAACTTTCACAACATCTGTACACACCTCTTCAAAACACCGGTACAGTTACAGAAAATAATGCAGAGAAATGTCAAAATGAAGAACTAGACATTTACATAGAAATGCTGCCAAGAAACTGATGTATTTTGTCCCTACAAGTGATTTTCTATCTACCAGGAAAAAAGCACAAAATATAAAAAGCACATTATGTCATTCTATATTTTCAAATGTATAAAATCATGAAAATACGGCGGGTAATACTTAAGCCAAATATTTTTAAACTTACGACCATATTCATATTTTTTGACTTGGCAAAGGTTTTTTTTTTTTAATAAATTTATTGCAATATACGTTTCTTGTGTAACTCCCATCGCATCATGTCTTGCATAAATATATTACCCAACAATACATGTAAACAATAAGTAGAACTTTATGTTTTGTAAATACATGATTTCTTATATGGATGAGACCACGAAGAGTTTTTTCCTGGAATCAATGGTTCTAAAAGAGAACTCATTTAGAATTTACAAATTTAGCGTTTCTCCTTAAATTTTGAACTAATTGGAACAGATGTGGGCAAATCTTTTTCGTTTGCATATAGAATTAGGAAATATAGTGAAGTGGTATATGATCAAATTAATCAGAGTGTAGGTGTACGCTTTGTAAAATTTATTCTACACTAGTACGTAAAAGGGTATTTAAAACATTCATAAATAAGTACTTTTAATATTTATCTTTTGTGTTCTTCACACATATGTGAATTCATGCGCTTTTCTTGGTTTATGAAAACTGGGTATTTGAATTGAATATTGCATGAGCAAGCTAAAATAAATATTCATCAAGTATTTTCTGTTTACTTTAGTGTTCGTAGATATTTTCTGAAAAACTCAAATAGTTATATCTTTATTGATTGAAGGCATTAC